TTATCAAACTAAATTCCAAAGCAAAGACAGTTCAATTTCAAAAGCAGAAATATGCTGAATTTTGTAAAAAAATATTTCATTTAGTCAAGACTACAATTACAAGCGTCACAAATGAGCTTACATTGCCGTGGACTTAATCTCTCTCAGTTGCATAGCTATAATATTTAACCTCGACAAATGCGCACTTCGAAAATACAGTGACAAAATATGCTAAAAACTGCTGCAAGTAGCGTTGCATATAGCTAAATATATTTAACCTTTGTTCCTTTTGTCACAAGCATATATGTATACGTGCATGAACTGCCATCCTCCGACTTAAGTGTCCTTAGGCATATGTATACTGTGTGCAGCGCAGTTTTTCCGTGCCATTGCCATGGTTCGCAGCTAGAGACCTAGACAATAAGGTAGAAAAAAGAGAATGAAATACAAACTTGGCCATTTGGGCACATGCAGTCACGTACAGACAGACTATTCAAGGTATTTGTACATATGTATTTTGAAGGGTGTAGTCCGTTTAAAAAAAGCGCTGTACCTTTTAACTTGTATGTAAGCATCTTTGACATGATCACTAGGCATTCAACTTTTAGACATATATATTTATATTTCCTGCTTAAAACATTTATCTTTGCCTTCAATTGCTTATATACCCATCTACGCCCAAGTGTCTACTTCCGCTCGACTACTGACATCACAATGCTTATAAAAGTTTGCCATAAGATATGTAGTTGCAACTACACTACAAAAAATACTCTAAAGATAGTGACTATATACAGAGAATTGTTACGAAATTATAACGTCAATTAGTCGTGCTGACGAATCCACCTTTCCTTCAGAGTTCTCTCCTCTTTTGCATAGTAATCCCTTTTCATACATAAACATACATACAGTTACAACTGCTTTGCAAGAATAAACAGATTATATTTACCAACTTTCTCTTTATGCTTGCTTATTTTTTACTCCCATAATGCCACTTAATTTAATAATTTACACAAACTGCATTTTAATTGGCTAATGGCACACAGCGTCTTAGAGGATAGTAGAATAATATATAAGCAAATAAATATGAAGATTAGTTTTAATGGAATATCGCACAGAATATTATTGAACAAAATTAACTGCATTTCCAGTCAATTAGAGAATTGTAGACATTAGAAATTGAGGGAGTGGTTTTATTAAAATGAACTGGATTTACTAAGCGCTTTACCAAGTAAGCTATTGATGATAGAACATGCTTAAAATAATATAGACATTAATCTATTAGGTAGTCGAAAAAGTTTTTTCATATTTTGTCGAAAGATGTTGCAGTCGTATATCTCCAGAAGATTGATTAGAAATACGAAAAAACTCAATATATTTTACATCATATCTAATTGCTTATTTATTTCAAAGCTGAGAAGCTAACAACATTTTCTCGACTCATTGACTATTTTTTCTTGAAAATCTTTTTATTTGACTTTCAAAAATTTTTTTCAGTCGAATGTCTTGGACAGAACTTGGCAGTAAAATTTTTTTATAGAACACTACAATCACTAATCGCGTTTTATAATTCGTTTTGAGATAATTTTGTAAAATCAAAGCAGGTCGGCAAAAATGTCTCTTAACTGTAGCCCCCGCATTAGGAGTCACTTCTACAATGTCATAATTTCAAGCTGGCTCTGAGTCATGACATTGCAGGCAGTTGGCTCCTATCGAAGACTGATGTATTTCCTCAATCATCTCCCTATGATGGACTACTTCGTATGCCATCTTAAAAAAAGGTGAATGGGTATTTACAAGGGTCATTGCTAATGGGATCTTTGGCGGTAGGTATAGGACGCTAGGATTAGAGACCCCCCAATCCCAAAACTCAGCATCGAAGTCGATAATAGTTGCAAAGCTATTTGCTCAAAGCCACTAAGTTTGCAATAACGATATGGAAATACGGAGACTGTGAAAAGTATATGTAGTATAAAAAATCAGCTGGAGGAATTAATATCTCAGTTATTGAGATATCGATCTGAAATTTGTAGCTGCCATATAAACTCACTTATTAAAATCAAATTCTTGTATAGAAAATTTTTAATTGGCAAACTATATATTCAAATTTGGTTCAAATCAAAGCTCAAGACAGCCAGCACTACAAACTCTGAGCAAATTTTTTAGATCGGACTACTTTAGCATATCACTTTCATACAAGCTGTCCAGTCAAAATCAAGATAGAGTTTTTGCCTTGTTTGTCATAAGGAATGCGCTTCTGAAAGATATTTTTGAAGCACTGCTCTATATTGATATTAGAAATTTCCCTAAGGATAGATTGGTCTTTAGAACACATTCAGGGTAGAATATATGTACAAGTACATATCGTCACCTAAAAAAAAATCGAAATTGAGTTTTTCATTGCTTACGATTCACTACATCATCTTACATATATAACCTATATATGGTTATCATTTATAAACAAGACAAAAAAACAAACAAAAACAAAAGGCAAAAAAAAACTTGGTTTCAATGTGAGTGGTTTTTATTATATTGTTTTCCTTCACCTGTAAACTTATGAAAAGTGATGTTATATTATTTTGCATTTTAGGTGGCGATATACACAATGATTTGATAAGTTCTTTTAAAGACTCTTAAGACTAATTTTGAAACAACTTTTTTCAGAACCTGTATACTATGCGCATAACAATATATCCATAATGAGCTTGTTATATTTTCCATTAATCTTAAGTCAGTCGTTAAATAAACCATATAATTTTAGTGCTTTTAAGCCACTGTTTATATTTTGACTATTGACTGTAAATGTTGACCAGCTTTGCATAATACCTCAACTAATTCTAGTACATTGTAGTACTACTATATAGTATGCATTGTATTTCATATGCAAATGTCATAGTCTCTTTTAGTGCTTTCTTTTCTTTCGCTATTTTCTGTTACACAATGAGTTTATATTAGGGGTATTCTCTTGCTCTTGCAAAACCCTTGCACGGTGCATGAATTGCAGATATTTCATCTTGGTGCAATCCGAATTAGCCGTTCATATATCACTAGATTCTGCAATGGATGCTCTCGTGCCCTTGTACATTTCGGTTTAGGACTTTTTCAATCTACAATCTTGCAAGATCAAGAGAATCCCCCTATTGAAATGCATTTTTCCCTGCTGAAACTTTTATAAGTGATTTTCCACGAATACGCCGCTTGTGGTTGCCGAGCTTATGGCATTAAGCACTTTAGCATATTCTCGCCTTCGGTGGCATGAAAGCTGAAACAAAAGAAATGAAATCACCTTAAAATTGCATATTACAGTTTCCATTTCGATTCTTAACATTTTTACTTACTTTCTGCTTTTAAAGTTGTTAAACATGTTAATAATGCGTGAGGATACACATTGGTCGGTTGAATAGCGCGTAGGAATTTGATTAAATAAAATTGGAATGTGACTTTAATTTTATTTAGATCTTTTTATTAAGGTTAATTAGACATTGAATTTAATATTAAATATTTTAATATTTGAAAAAATTAGTTTATTTATAAAAAAAATCGAAATATTAGGTTGTCAAAAAAGTCCTGCGGTATTTTTGCTAGTTGGCGCTGAGAGCGCGTAGTTCTAGTTTTATTCGTCGCATTGGGTCATGCTATACCTTTTTGGAAAGCTCAGCAGCCGTAGCATCGGGCAAGAGCTGAGCATGAGTCATCAAAAAAAAATTTATGCACAAATGAAAATTCAATAAAAAAATACCGCAAGACTTTTTTTACAACAAATATTATTTATTTTGATACTCATATTATTGATAATTCCATACAAAAAATAAAAAAAAAATTATTTTGTTTTTTGCGTTCTCCCGTAGTATATATCATTGAAAATGCCATAAAAATCTTTTAAATATTTTTTGAATTTCTGCGATCTAAAATATGGCTTATCTTTGAATGCGTTTTTCATGATTCTTTTCTTCTAAAAAATTAAAATATTCTTTTCATACTAAAGCAACTTTTATTAGTTTAGCAAAAAATTGCTCTGAATTGATAAATATTTTTATTTTCACGAACACACTCATACAAAAAAACATAACCCAGAAAACTCCCGCCACCAACACTGTTATTTTCACCCGCAACAAGCTGTTGTCGACTATTCAAATCAGTTTAGCTGTCACTATTGCGGTTATCCACTACAAAAACTAGTTTATTTTAATAATTTAACAAGAAAAATATTTGCAGCTGTTGTTGTTGTTACATCTAAGAGCGAAAAGAATGCAGTAATCGATTTGTGGCATGAAAACAAACAACATGTCCATCCAAACTTGCCACAGCCACAGCATCGCACTTCCACTATTATATTCTATTCAACGAGTCTAATTTATAATACTAACACAAAATTGGAGGCGGTTGGAGTGGGATACCCCACCCTCCACAGCTTCAACTGACCATTTTCAATTTACCCGTCAATCACAGACATGAAATCACGTCAAAGCAAGCAAATGCTATTTTTTTCCATCAGCACACAGCTGAGCCTGTTGATGAAACGTGGCGGCGAAGGCAACGTTGGAAAATATCAATTCAGTTCAGAAAAAGAGTGTTCGTTAGTAGCAAAAACAATTTGAGCTTTATGAAAAAATATGAAACTGTACAAATCCTGTTTATGCAGTGATGAGTTTGATTTGCTTCACCGAACTTATTGTTACATTTTCACTCTCACTATTCTTATTAGCACAAGGTTGTTGTCAATCGGGTTTTAGTTGGTTGCTACTTAGTTGTCATAGCTAGTGATGAAGCTGTCGTGGAAGTTGCGAAGTTAGTGGTAGGAGAAGTAAGTTTGAGATTAAAAATTAGATGAAATTCATTTTAAATGAAATTGTGGTTAAACCATTGAGCGGCAGAAAAAGCTTTTTTTAATGGTTTAATCAAAAACAAAAGGAATGACTTCTAGTTTTTCTGTTATCACTTAACCCTTTTCTTATTTCAGTTATATAACGTTATACCTAAAAGTTTCTTATTGATTAATTTATTTTATTTCATTTTATTTGCAGATTGTAAAATCTAATAAGTTTCAACATGACTTAGAGCAGCAAAGAATTGAAGCTTAAAGCTGTAAGTACTAAAAAATATATCTTTATAAAACAGTTAAACTTCCATAACTCAAAAATCTCCAAAACTCGAACCCTTGAATTAGCAATAGAAGTCAAATTGCCATTAACTGTCATAACTCGAAGTTTTATTTTGGATTATGGTGATTCGAGTTACTAAAGTTCAACTGTAATTATAACTTTCAGTGAAATGACAAATCTTAAAGGACAGATTACTAAAGCCATCTATTTTAAACATAATGGATTTCTTTTAAAAATGTTTTGGTTACGATTTTGCTAGAGTGGCGGGAAACCTTTTAAGGTATGTCATTATTTTTCAAAAAATCATACTTAATATTGGTTCTAAAATTTAGAGCATTGAACACGCTCAATGGTTTTTTTTATCTTACCTTTGGAAAACGTTTTTGATCTAAAATTAAAAGTCGAAGAAACATGTTAAATATATATGTATTAATATTCCGAAATTCAAGAGGCAAATAGTTTTACTAAATATCGAAATAATAAATATATATATGAACAAGTAAGGAAGGGCTAAGTTCGGGTGTAACCGAACATTTTATACTCTCGCATGATAAAGTGGTAATCGAGATTTCATTATCCGTCATTTAGATATTTTTTTATTTTGCTGTAAAAATCATTAGATTAGATCAATTTGTGTACTTTGAGTACTGAATTGTATTTTCATTTATTTTAATTGTATTGAAAAGTTATGGTCCGATCACGACAATTTTTCCGCTTTCCGTTTTATTCCGCTATCATCATTCGTTCCTAATGTATATATTATACAGAAAAGGCATCAGATGGAATTCAAAATAGCGTTATATTGGAAGAAGGCGTGGTTGTGAACCGATTTCACTCATATTTCGTACATGTCATCAGGGTGTTAAGAAAATATTATATACCGAATTTCATTGAAATCGGTCGAGTAGTTCCTGAGACATGGTTTTTGGTCCATAAGTGGGCGACGCCACGCCCATTTAAAATTTAAAAAAAAGGCCTGGGTGCAGTTTCAACATAACTTTTGTATGGGAGGTTGGCGTGGATTTTATCCGATTTCTTCCATTTTTGAACTGTATATGGAAATGCCTGGAGAAAACGACTCTGTAGAGTTTGGTTGACATAGCTATAGTAGTTTATGAGATATGTACAAAAAACTTAGTAGGGGGCGGGGCCACGCTTACTTTTCCAAAAAAAATTACGTCCAAATATGCCCCTCCCTAATGCGATCCTTTGTGCCAAATTTCACTTCAATATCTTTATTTATGGCCTAGTTATGACACTTTATATGTTTTCGGTTTTCGCCATTTTGTGGGCGTGGCAGTGATTTTGCCCATCTTGGAACTTAACCTTCCTATGGAGCCTAGAAATACGTGCACCAAGTTTTATCATGATATCTCAATTTTTACTCAAGTTACAGCTTGCACGGACAGACAGACATCCGGATTTCAACTCTACTCGTCACCCTGATCACTTTTTTAACCCTATATCTAACTCTTTTAGTTTTAGGACTTATAAACAACGGTTATGTGAACAAAACTATAACAAGACTATGTATATAAATTTTTTTATTTGACAAGATATTCTCATGTAATTCGGCATAGATTTTTGCACAACGCCAGGCTATAATCCCCAGATATATTGGGCAGATCTGACTATTATAGCATAAAAATGGCATAAACTTGTATTCATACTACGTTATCAAAACCAAGTCCTTGTATTTAGAGGTATTTTACGAGATATCTTCACTAAACTTGGCGCAGCTTATTCCCAGAGACGATTATACAATCGTCAAATGTATTACTCCCATTAGACCTATAGTCTTTAGCTGCCATACAAACAAAACGGTTTGTATCGAGTTCTTTTATAAAAAAAAACTTGTTTACTTGGCATTATATTATTACGGAATTTGGCGCAGATTATTGTTGAGTGTAATTCTCCAATCACCAAATATGCTCTTTAAATCGAACCATTATCATACATATGTAAGTAGCTGCCAAACAAACTGACCTTGCAAAACCAGTCCTAGTCTGGAAAACTTTTTTAAGTGACAAGATATATATATGAAATTTTATATAGAATATTCTCCAAGGTTACGTCATAACCTCATAATGTATTGTTTAGATAGGAATATAGTATATAGCTGCCATACAAAGTGATCAATCAAAATCAAGTTCTTGTATAAAAATATGTTTTATTTGACAAGTTACCTTCACGAAATTTGAGGTAGAATACTCTCCAAAGGATTGCTATAATCTCCGAATATGTTGTTTAGATCGGACTACTATAGCGTATAGCTGCCATACAAACTGAATGATCAAAGTAAGTTGTTGTGTGAAAACGTTATAAGCTCCGAGATTACTCTTTAGATAGGATGACTATAGCATACAGCTGCCATAAAAACTGACCGATTAAAATCAAGAAAAGATCTTTTTATACCTTTTTCTGTTATAAGAAATGCACCTACTTATTGTAACTTCTAAATATAGCTATAGGTGTTACTTTATTATGAATTGTTTTTTTTCCTTTAATATATTTTCAAAGAATTCTAACATAATAAACCATAAAGCGAAGAAGAGCAACTTACACTTCCTTTTCCGGTCCACAATTTATCAAAACAATAAGATTTTCACTCAGAAATACAGGGATTTGGTTAGGTTATGTTAATCTGATAGGAAAATAAGCCATGCATAGAACAGTTTTAGTCATCATGTTACTATAGTTTCTTCTATCGAGTGCCAATAAAAATGTTTTTCACTTCCAAATATGCATAAGTTTAATGAAAAATTGTTTACATACACAGAATATGAGTTTTCGTGTAGTCTGGTTTAAACTCATCATCATCATAATTATAGCATAACTCATATATTTACGTATAAGCTACCAAGATTTATGGTTTGAGTGGTTTCTGGACACTTAAACAGAACACAAAATTATTACTCTGTAAATAAATTACTTTTAATAAACCAAATTACATTTTCAGCACTTTTTCCAACCCTTTTTCAAACAAATATGTATCTAAATTATAGCAATTACATCCCTTCAACATTTCATATACACATATTAATGCGTCCTCCAATACATATGTAATTACACATATAACAACTATTTAGGTACAGTTAAACTAAACCGACGCAGCAGCATTAGCACTACAAAGCAACAAAAGCTAAAAGCATTAACAACACTCATACGCCCCGTGAGACAGACTTAAGTAGCTACTTTCCGTGCGCGTAGTGGCTTACGCTTTCATTTGCTTTCGCTTAAGCAAGTTGGGGGTTGCGTTTCAAAGCAATTTCGCCATGTGCAGCGTCTTTGCCATTAAACACACGGCTCTTGGGGCAAGGATTTTTTAAACGCTGCATTTATGGCCATTTGAGCAGCAAAGTCAAGGCAGAAAAGTGTGTGTGTGTGGGTGCATGCTTTGCATTTTTCGCTTCCACACATTTGCACATGTTCGCTACCGGCTTGCGTTCGACTTTAATCCTTTTTATACGAACTTGTTAACACACGGATTAATGTTAAATAAAGCTAAGTACACTTAAGGTACTCTTTAGCGGCCTGCCACAACCGCATAGCAGGGTATATAAGAATATGTACATATATATGTTAGGTACATGCGTGCTGCATATGTGAGTAATAATAAAAATTCATTTGATGCCATGACCTGCTGTGCTGCTAAGTGCTTAAGGCTGGTGGTGACTTCTGCACCGTGGCTATGCTGTAAGAATCAAGATTGCAAGTCTGGCCTCAGTATTAGTCAGGGTAGTACGTGGCAGATTTTTATGATTATTCATCTCTCATACGCATATATACATACATATACTCGTATGTTGTAGTGAGTAGCTTCTTGGCTTTACATAAATTACACCTTTGCACGAACTTCTCTTACACATGCATATACAGAGCAACATTTGTAGCCTCACAAGCTTGAAATCAGACAGCCATGCGTGAGCTGAAACATACTGTAACGGATTTTTTGCAACTCAAACAAAGAGAAAGTCGACAAAAAGCTATATTACATGCCCTTGTCCACTGTCGACTGCCGTTATTCCAACAATGATGGTCAAGGTAACGTGTCGCACACGTACTAAACTATTAAAATGCCTCTACTTTTCTAGCGCTCAAGCCACATTTTTATTCCATGAGTGTGCATGTGTGTTTGTTGTACTGTTAGTTTGGCTGCAGCATCAGTGCGACTAACCTACACGCAAGCAACGCACATCAGCCCATTCATGAATGCCATAAACGCTCTTCCAATGTCACAATGTTCTTGAAAATCACGTTTCCTCATAAATCACGTGTGAATAAATAAACAGGTAGCACAATTCGCGCTGTCACAAAGCTGATGCATGGACGCCTATTGGATTCTTGTTTATGCCGAGTTGGGCGTAAGCGGCGCAGTCGGTGTGTGTAGGCGAAAAGTGAATTTAAATGTAAGCAAATTGGCGCACATGAAAATTTACTCATTGCTAACATGCGGAGCTTTTGGGGAGTGCAAAAGTTTTCCATACCTGAAGGTGGAGGAAGAAATTTTTTGTGTGTGCGCTGAAATGAATTTTCGGCAAATAAAAGGAAAATTAAATTCAGCCGCCGGCAATGTTGTTGAGCTTCTCTACCAAAGCAATAATACTTAAATGCAAATTTGCGGAGAGAGTTTATGATCAACTGCGTATAATTATTTCATTGTTTATGCACCTGGTAAACTTCCCTGCGCATATGTTTGTAGATATAACAACGCTCTAGGAACAAGAAACAAGAAAAATTAATTAACTCGGTTGCACCGAATTGAAACATTCTTTATAGGGGTGTTATTCATCAGAATGATTAAAGCTAAAAAATTATTAAAAAAAAATACACAAAAATATCGTTTTCTTGATTTTGATCGTTTAGTTTGTATGACAGCTATACGCTATTGCAGTTTGATCTGAGCAATTTCTTCGGAGATTGTAGCGATACTTTCAACAACAATGTATGTCAAGTTTCCTAATGATACCTTGACAAATAAAA